GCCACGGGGGCTGAGACTCGAGTGCCGGTCAACTACATGGAAGTTCAGCGACATAGCCATTGCCAACTGCTGGTCCCCGAAATAAACTTTAAATATGTATACATATATATCTAGAAATAAGTAAGGATATTTCATGTAATGAGATTAATTCATCAAGAAGACAGGTCAATTGGGTCAGCCCTGTAGCCTGGTGGTTAAAGGAAGCTTAATACCAAATGTTCAATTGTGGTTTGAATCCTGGCCCTGGCAATGTAAAATACACCCTAGGCAAGTGTGTTTGGATGCCCAAAATCCTTTGCAACAATTGCAAAACAAAATTTAAAATGATATTTATCTTCTCTGAATTAAAAAAAAAATTATGATAGAGTGCACATGTGTGCACAAGAGAGACACAGAGAGAGACAGAGAGAGAGATATGTACCCTCCAAGTGCTTAATTATGTCACGATTACCTTCCTCTTGTCCTCCAGCCCACCAGGATCATGGGCACGCACATACATTTCTGGCATTTTTTCAGACTGACTACACCATGGACTTGAACTGTTGCTGTCATGAAGCTTCCAGCTTTACAATCTGGGAGGCTGACAACTGTGCCCCAGAGCTGGGCCAAAATACCATTTTTTGAATAGCACAAAATGTCAGTAACATGGCAGAATAGGAAATTCATGATTGTCCCTCCGTCCAAGATGCATGAACAAATATCTACTCACAGGTCAAGCCTCTCTAAGAGCAAGTTAGAGATCACTTGAGAGACAAGAGTACTCACCAAGCAACTGAGAAAATATCTACTTTGAATGGATAGAAAAATCTGGGTACATTTGGACATGTCTAAACCTGGGCAATATGTCTTAAAAGTTTGGAAAGTAATTTCCAACACTTACTTTCTACCTGTGGGACTGATCCTCACAGATCTACCACCCTAGCTCTAAAATTCCCCACAATTTGATTCTTATTTTACCAACTGTGGGAGTGCACGAGGTTTGATACCTGTGAGTCTATTCAGACCACAGGAAAAAAATCAGTAGCTTTATATGGGCACTCAAACAGTTCCAGAGCCTTCATTCCCCCAGGCACAGTGCAGAGAAGAGACTTAAAAAAGAAGCACAGTGTCTGTCCACTCAGTCCTCAAGGAGTTTATGACATATTCTTCTAGCAGCTACTTGGCAGTGGGGCTTCTAACTAACTCACCTCAGGGAGCTAAAATGACAGACAATTGTTAACCTACCAAAAACTGGAAGGAGTTTGAGCACACAAAAATATACCAAAATCACAGCTTATGACTGAGAGTCGAATCTTAAACTCCCAGCTCTGGGAGAAGAGGAGACTGGCACACACATGTCTCTCTAGGACACATGAAAAATGGCAGTGTATACAGGCGTGCAAGCACTTCCAGGGGGTCCGTCCCAGGGAACACTGCACAGAAGTTTGCAAGACACACAAAATTGCATCTTCCTGTTTCCTCCCAGAAGGGGTTTATGCTAGACTCTTTCAGCAGTTACTAGGCAGCCTGGTTTCTAACTACCTTGCATCAGGTTGTTAAAGGCACAAATATCCACCCACTGCCAGCTTGGGAGGACTTGTCTGTACGTGGAGTACCCCAGTATTGATAGCTATGGAAGAACTCCATTCTAAACCTCTTAGCTGTGGGAGCACAAGGGACTATGGAATATGTGACTCTCCCTAGAACATAGGACAGAAAATGTTTTCCTTTCTTTTTCAAGACATTTTACTTTTTTGTTGCTGGTGTGTATGTGTGCACTCATGCTTGTGTTTACATGAGAGAGAGAGAGAGAGAGAGAGGGAGAGAGAGAGAGAGAGACAAAGTACTTCACAAAGTGTATGGTTGCACCACAATCCTTTTTCCTGCATTTCTCCATCCCATCAGGATTTTGGATTTGTGAGCCCAGCCTCCTGTGTTTTCCAGGTTATTTTAGCTGGGATTTGAACCATGGTTGGTCATGGGAGATCTGATTCCCTCTGCACAGGCTTTATATGTTTACACTACAGTGTTGGTCAAGAGGTGGCTCTGAATAGGTATACAAACATTTCCATGGGATCCGCCCCCTAGGGACAGTGCAACAGGGAGAAGAAACGTGTGGTTCCCCTTTTCTCTCCATAAAGGGCCAATGGTACTCACTTCCAGGGGCTACCTGAGAGCCTGGTCTCTAACAAGTTTGTACAGGAGAGCCAATAGGATAAACAAGCAAGAACTCTCCAGAACCTGAAGCCACAACCTGGCATTTCCCAAGGCATCCCTATGACCATTCCAGTAATAAATCTAGCTACCTCTTCTTTCTGGAAGGATTTGGCATGCCCTGAGTGCCTCAACACTTGTAGCGTCCACTTCTAGCAGCGGTATCCTGAGGAGCAGAGGGTGCAGAATAGATACCAGTGCAGGAATGTGCCATTATCTTCTCTCTAGCTTAGTGCAGAGTGGGAGATAAACGCTCACACCCAGATTCACTATGGAGGTAGAAGAAACTGGAACGCACATCCAATGTCCCAGCCTTTCTAGCTACCTCTAAAGAACCTGGCTCCTACCTTACTGGTCTCAGGGTACTAACAGGGTGTGGCATGTCCTCAGTGCTAGCGAGCCACCAAAACACAGATGGCAATCTGGAAAACACAAAGGTTGGAGAAGTGCTTTAAAATTTCTGGCTAGACAGATTGGTGAGATGTTCCTCCAACACAACTTTTTCCTTAAAAAAAAAAAAAGGAAATGTAAGGCTACGTAAGATTTGTTTTTAAACAGTACAGTGCCTTTTTTTTTTTGTATCATTAACACCCGACCAAATGCAGGAAAAAGAATTGTGGTGCGACCATACATATTGTGACATAGCCCTGTCCTAGTGATATTTTCCATAGCCACTATCCTTGCCTGGTACAGTATGGGGGTTGTAAATTGGCATGGAAATTTAAAGCAGTTTCTTGTTGGTGCACACCACAAATTAGTTATAGATGGGGATGGTAATTTTTCCATCTTCAGTTGTCTCTGATGCAGCTTATATGAAATAATTGTTGGTCTGTTAACTGAATACCACTTTGTAATTGTAAAACAAAATGTTGCAGGTGTTTTGTTGACATTCTCAATGCTTCTTAAGTAAATATATATATTTTTTTTAATTAGGAAAAAAAGACTGGGTACAACAGGTGGCATGGTGGTTAAGGTACTGAATCTTACATGGCAGTTAGAGTCCTGGACCCAGAGGCTTGAAATTCGTGTGTGTGTGTGTGTGTGTGTACCCAAAATCCTGAGAGAAGAATGGAGGAGAAGAGATTGTGGTGTGGCCGTTCCTCCGGGTGGGGTCATTTCTCACTTTTTATCTCGCTATTTCTTGGGGAGCGTAAGGTGCTGTATAACAAAAAAATCTCTCTCTTAGAAAAAAGACACATACTTTATAGTGGGAAATTATATTTGCTTGCTCCCATTTTTCAGAGTGAAGTAAGAGAAAAGAATTTTCAGAAGGATCCACATTCCTTCCTTCCTTAATTACTTAATGTGTGAACCAATGAATATTGAGAACTTGCTACTTGCTAGGCTCCATTTTAGGTGCTATTTGTTTAGGACAGATAGCAAGAGACCCACTTATTTTTCTTATTTGGTTATTAAGGAGTCTTGGATCTTGCCAGGCATCTTTTGGGATAGGAGCAAAGGGGGAGGTGGGTCTCACGGTGCCAAGATGGGACACTCTCAGGATGCAGTGGGATGTTGCTAGTGGTCTGAAAGGTCAGTTTACACTTTGTGCATTGACAGAAGCAAAAAGGAGAGCAAGAGGCAAAAAGGGGAGGGGTAGAAAGGGCAAGAAACCAGGGAACAGAGCAGTAGCTGCAGAAATGACTGGTGACATTCTGAGGATTGTCTTGTGTGGTACCTGGTCCCCCAGTGGATGGGTGTCACCTGCTCTGCAGAGGTTTCTCCACCTCCCTGGACTGAGAGTAGGGCACTGGAGAAGGAGAAACTAAGGCCTCTGATTTGGAAAAGGAGAATGCTGAGCCAGCGAGTGCCCATTGCTCTTTCTGCTGCCCCTTCCTCTGGTGACTTGTCCTCCAGGGGAGGAAGCGGAACCTGGGTCAGAAAGTAAGCTGGGACTTCCTGGCCAGCATCCTTCTCAGAGCAGCCTTCACCTCTTTGTTCTTCAGGCTGTAGATGAGGGGGTTTAGCAGCGGGGTCACGACACTGTACTGCACGGAGATCACTTGTTCCAGGACTGAGCCGGATGCTGGAGTCATGTACCTGGAAGGGAATTGCACAAGGAGCAAACTGAGCTCAGGATAATGGCAACAGTGCTGTAGGCAGTGACAGTCCATTTCACCCCTGCCAAACTCTGCAGAGACTCTGCATAGGCTGTCCTCAGAGCTGAGTCAACTATCTCTACTGGCAGCATCTGGAAATGACTGCCCGCTCAGTCCTTTCTGTCTTTAAATGACTCCGAACATGAGTGACCCTACAGAGAAAGTTTTAGAGCTTCACCAAGGAAAAAGGAAGTTCTGCAGCAGTTCAAGAGCTGCAATTACAGTAGAGCTGATAATGATTTCAAACATTTACATATCACTCCTTTCTCTGCAAAGCATCTTTTCTCGTTATGATGATATGAGCATTCCCCTTCTTCCCTCTCTATATACACAACACTACAGACATACCATTTGTGATGGTTCTTATAAAATGTGTGCTTAGTTCACAACTGCTGGTATTGACCTAGGTTTTATGTCCTTGGGAATTACTCTCAAAATCATACTATATTATTTTTTACAGTATTTAGTGGAACAAACATTTATCCTTTTTTGGATGTGTTTTTCTTTGAATTGGAAAAGAAACCAAGGCTGGTCAAGAAAGTGGGAGTTGAAAATGTTTTAAGCACAAGATGTAATTCCAAAATAATAATTAGATTAAAATGTTTGAGTATGTCTTGTTATGTGCCACTGGGAGTATTTTCTAAAAGACACTGTTATTGTAATTACCATTAGGATTATTGCTTACTATGAGGGCATCATCATTATTGGAGTAAGTAAAGATTACCTCAAGAATGTTCCTTGTGAGTTCTGGTGTATTTGATTGAAAGACAGACACATTTTACTGTTATTTATTTATTTTTTTTAGAGGTTTTTTGCTATAGGGCACGTGCGCTCGCCAGACAGAGACAGACAGAGAGATAGAAAGCGAGAAATCACCCCCTAGGGAGGATGGTCACGCCGCAATCCCTTCTCCTCCATTCTCCTCTCGGGATCTTGGGCACGCATGCACATGCACCCAGCGTGAGTTTTAAGCCACCAGGTCCGGGACGCGAACCGCGGTCGACTACGTGGGAGTCCAGCGACATAGCCATTACGCTAACTGCTGGTTCCCTTTACTGTTATTTTTAATAGTCTAATTTATCCATCCTAACAGTTCTGTAAAGCAGAAAAGGAGAAATCTTATTCCCTATACAGCATATGAAGGAACTGAGCTAAATAGACATGAAGATATTTGTCCATAGGTTCAGGTGACGTCTCTTGGACTTATTTTTTAAAAAAATTTATTGCTGGGACCAGCAGTTGGCTTAATGGCTATGTTGCTGGACTCCCATGCAGTTGACTGTGGTTTGAATCTCAGATCCGGTGGCTTTAACTCACGCCAGGCAAGTGTGTGTGCATGCCCAAAATCCCAAGAGGAGAATGGAGGAGAACGGATTGTGGCATGACCATCTCCCCTGGGGGGGAGATTTCTTCCTTTCTGTCTCTCTGTCTCTGTCTTTCTGGTGAGCACATGTGCCCTATAGAAAAAACCTTTAAAAAATTATTATTTCTGAGGTCAGCAGGTAGCATGTTGGTTAAGGCACTGGACTCTCACATGGCTGACTGTGGTTCGAGTTCTGAACCTGGCAACTTGAAAAACACACTGGGCATGTGTGTGTGTGCATTCCCAAAATCTCAGGAGGTGAATGGAAGAGAAGTGATTACAGCATGGCCATCCTTGCTGGGGGTCTATTTCTCACTTTCCCTCTCACTGTTTCTCTCTCTGGTGAGTGCATGTGACCTATGTCAAAAACCTTAAATAATTACTGTTACAGAGGACATGTATACCTTAGAGAGACAGAGAGAGATGGAGAGAGAAAGAGAAATAGAGAGAACCCACCTCCCGAATGTGGCATGGTAATTCCCCAATTTCTTTTCTTCTATTTCTCTATGCTATCAGGACTTTGGGCACACAGGCTTGTTTTTAAAGTCTCCAGGTTGGGATGTGAACCATGGATGGCAATGTGGGATCCAGCTTCCTGTGCACAGGGCTTAACTGGTGTGCTATGGGGTCAGCCCCCCTCCCATATAAATGTATGCAATTATCTACAGAGAAAGAGTGAGAAAAGGAGAGAGTGAGATAAAGGGGGGGAAGAGAGAGAGAGAGAGAGAGAGAGAGAAAAGACAACAGGATCTTGCATGCTGCTGTCTTCTGTGGCTCATCAGCCAGCTAGGATCACAAGCATACCTGGTATGTTCAGATTGACTCGGGATCCAAACCTGGGGTCTTTCCATATAGCTTCAGTATCACTGGCCCTATGGCTTGTGCTACCACGATCAGACCAGGACTCTTCTTTATCATCCATTTCCACTTCCTGATTTCTTACCAAGTCATAATTAGGTGAAAAATGTGTTAAACGACTTAGGTAAATGCACACTCAGTTCACTAGCAGAAAGCACAGACCTTGACTATTCTATCTCCTAGGGAGGGAGGACTTACCAGCTACACTTGTATATATTTGAGAGGAGCATGGTGGAAAAAAGCATGGCACGCGATTCAACTTACGGCTCCATTATTAACTTGTACTGAGATTTGAGAAATTATCTAGTTAATCCCCAAGCTCAGGTTCTTTACCTGACAGTGGGGTTAATAATATCGCTTGTACAGTGTGATGCAGGCTAAACTGAGCTCGACCACGTAAAGCAGCTGGTGTACAGTGGGTGCCTAATGAGTAGTTATAGCATAAACAAGCTTTGGAGATACCATTTTCTAGCAGGAAAGAAAGATGGTGTCGGTTTTAAGGATTGGATTTATTTATTTATTCATTTATTGTCTAGCACTGAATAAACATCTACAAAAGGCTTCTGATTTCCTCTTTAGAACTGCTAAATCATAGGTTAGTAAAGCAGGAAAACCTTTGTCTAAGTTCATTTTTCAGAGTAGACATGTGAAGTCTTGAAAAAAACATGTGAAGTCTTTACTACTAACACAGCTAGTCTACATCAGAGTCAGACTAGAGCTTACAGTTTCTGAATTTCCGACTATTTTGCAAAGCTCCATTCTACAGAACAAGGCCACTTAGGGCAAGAGATATAACACGCTCATATTCCGGGATGTAGTGTAACATACCTGAAAAATCCTGAACCAAAAAAGATAGTGATTACTATGAGATGAGAAGAGCAGGTGGAGAAGATCTTGCTCCGACCCGTGGCAGAGTTGATCCTCAGGGCTGTCACGATGATTCGACTGTAGGAACTCAGCAATGGGACAAGGGTGCTCAAGCCCACAATTACCATTGTGGCCAGAATGATGATGATGCTGGTGTAAGCGTCAGAACAGGCCAAAAAGAGCACTGGGGGAAGCTCACAGGCAAAACCATGGATGCGATTGGGACCACAGAAGTGCTGCTGAGCCAGGGGGAGAATGTTGATTAGGCTGGTCCCAATTCCTAAGGCGCAGCATGCCATGACCAGGCCAGCACACACCCTCTTGTTCATGACCATCACATACATCAGGGGGTGGCACACAGTGTGAAACCGGTCATAGGCCATGACAGAAAGAAGGCAGGCTTCAGTGCCCCCACAAAATAAAACCAGAGCGATCTGGGCAAAACACCCAACAAAAGATATAGTCTTCCACTTAGAAAGAAGGTTCTCTAGCAGTTTAGGCACAATGACCGAGGAATAGAAAGCATCCAGGAGGGAGAGGTTTTTCAGGAAGAAGTACATGGGGGTGTGGAGGTGGGAATCTGTACTGATCACCACCACCATGAGCAGGTTCCCTGAGAGGGTCAAGAAATAAATCACCAGGAACAGTACAAAGAGAAGTGCCTGGAACTGGGGGTTGGTGGATAGTCCTAGGAGAACAAAGGCTGTGACTGTGGTGATGTTGCTAACTTCCATGGGCATTCAGATGTCCTTTCGGAGACACAAGAACTGAAACAAATGCTCACATAGGTTATCCCTCCAGAGCATACCTAGGGATGAGGCATCCTGTGTAAAGCTTCATAGTTAACCCAGGACAGAAGATGTAGCAGAGGCAGCCCATCCATATCAGCCCTCACTGGTCTACTGGTTTTCCTCAGTGTTTCTACTCAGGGCAGTGGCAGTAATTTATTGACTGAGTTGAGTAAGAAGGGTGAATCAGACCTAGAAAGGAGAGAGAAAAGAGCAGGGATTATTTATACTGGAGAAGAAAAGGGAACTGAGGACAGAGACCATAGTATTGAGAAATTGTATTATCCAGTTTCAAGAGGAACTGAGCTGACACCACAGGGCTGGTTGACATGGTGAATAAGCAGTAAACATTTTGGTTGACCATCTAGCTGATAGACCATGATGACTGTTGGAATGAGGGAGAGAAATATTGTGACGCTTGGTGACAGTGCAAGTCCTTTTTCTGCCACTGTAAGTCCATGAATAAGCCACTTAAGTTTTTCATTTTAAAAAACAATCTGGGAAAATTGGATGATTTTAAAGTCCATTGCAGGTTAGATACTCCAAAGATGGGGAGACCGTCTTCCTTGGTGTCTGCACTAACTAGAAGCCCCATCTTCCATTTTGTGTCAACTCAAGCAGAAGTGGCATGTGAGTGTGGGGGCCCATAGAAGCCAGGCAGGGAGAAGACCTCATGATGGAAGTGAGGGTCATTCATAACAACCATTTAGGATTTCTACAAGTGCATAATGTCCAATGTTTTCACCCTAATCACAGGATTCAACATGAGAGTGCACAGAGACAGGGCTCGCCTCAGCTGGCTCCAGTGGGTTTGGATAGAGCCAGATCAGACTCAGACCATCTTCTGTGTATCACAGGGATGCTACATGACAAAACCGATAAATGAAAAATGGGAGGAGAGCTGGAAGAAGACCTGGTAAAATGGACAGTGACAGGGTTTAGTCTAGACCAGAGGAAGGTAAAGTGACTACTTCCCCTCTCACTGATGGTAACTCAGAAGGTTATAAATGAAGATCTGATCTCTAGTCACTCACAGGTTCCCAGAATGGATAGTTTAGAAGCTAGATTTGAATAAGAAAAAGTCTTGTTTTCACCTGGATGCCCTAGGCCAACAGCAGATGCCTTCAGTGGAGGATACCTGTGTGGCATCCTTTCCAACACTGGAGCCAGAGTCACAGGTAAGATTAGAACTCTGTGGGTTCCCTTAGGCTTTATCCTTCTTTTATAGAATGTGAGGTGGAACTTCTGAGGAACGATCTATTCCTATAGTCTTTCTGTCCAAGGGGGAGCAATCTTGGCTCTGCCTCCCAAATAACAATGGCCAGAGGGACTTGATCTCTGCTCAGAGGGACCTTGAAGAGTGAGGGAGGTCCCCAGAGAGGCCCTTAGCAGAAGGCCTGTTCTGACTCTGAAATGGCTCTCCAGGGTTACCTACTCTTTTCTGTATTACTCTTATTTCAGTGGGTTGCATCATGTAAGAGAGTCCTGGGTGGCCAATGACTTATTTTTTCCCCTACTTCTACCTTTATTGAAAAAAAAAAATGGTGGCCGATAGGTGGTCTGGTGGTTAAAGACGTTGAACTCCCACACTTGCTTTCTCACTTTCTCTCTCACTCTCTGTGTCCCTCTCTGATCAAATTAAAAAGAAAAAGTAAATAAATAAATAAACTTAAATAAAAATAATTTTTAAAAATTTGAACAAATATTTTTTTAACTTAAACACTATTAACACTGAACACATAGAGTAGCTTAATGTATCAAAATGTGAAGTTTAAGTTACCCAAACTGTTTTGACTTTATTAAAAGAAAAATTCTGGGGTCCAGCAGGTGGCATCATGGTTAGGGTGCTGGGTTCCCACATGGTGACGACCATGGTTTACCTGTTTGCTTGACAGTCACACCAGTCTTGTGTGCCTGCGTGCCCAAAATCCAGGGAGAAGAATGGAGCAGATGGCTTGAGGTGTGGTCATTCCTCCTGCTGGGGGTGATTTTCACTTTCTCTGTGTTTCTCTCCAGCAAGCACACATGCCCTATGGAAAACCTAAAAAAAGAAAGAAAGAAAGAAAGAAAGAAAGAAAGAAAGAAAGAAAGAAAGAAAGAAAGAAGAAAGAAAAATTGTGCCTCAGACTCTTGTCATGATGATTAGCAAAGTAAGGAAAACACACTCAAATCATAATTCTACAAAGTCCCTGTTCAATTGGATTATTGGTGTGTCAAGTGTTAGACTTCATACAGGAATAGCTACAATGCAATGATTCCTTCAAAGATGCATTTTTTTTTTTTTGGAGAGATTTTCGCTATAGGGCGCGTGCGCTCGCCAGACAGACAGAGAGAGACATAGAGACAGAAAGCGAGAAATCACCCCCCAGGGGGGATGGTCACGCCACAATCCCTTCTCCTCCATTCTCCTCTCGGGATCTTGGGCACGCACGCACACGCGCCCGGCCTGAGTTCTAAGCCACCGGGTCCGGGACGCGAACCGCAGTCAACTACATGGGAGTCCAGCGACATAACCATTATGCTAACTGCTGGTTCCCATGATTCCTTCAAAGATGCATTTCTCAAGTCATATGCTTCCTTAGATGTAACATTAAGAGAAGAATTTAATCTTTCTAACAAGATAACATACTGTAAAAGCCAGGACTAGTTCTCTGATCACTGCCTGGTAACCAGAAACACACTTGTCTATGATGAATTATTTCAAATTAAACTGAAGAGGACTTCCTGTTATGAACTGAAGTCTGAACTGAGATATCTGATAAACAGTTAGAACTTAATTCACTTTCACTCATTTAAAAAAGTGTAGAAACTAATCAGTGTTTGAAAACTTAGGGGTGATGCTGGAATGGGCAGGGATGCCCCAAATCAGGTCCATGCCACCTGCTGCAAAGAGATAAGACTTGGTGAATAAAGAAAAGAACTTTCCAATGAGGCCAGCACTAAGGAGAGGACAGACCTGAGTCCATAACTGTCTCTGTTGTACTTGACAAGATACAAAGCTTGAAATAAAAGGACAAGGTTTATTTTTTGGTCATAGGATATATAGGCTTGACACAGAGAGAGAGAGCGAGCAAAAGTAAGAAATCACCTCCTGGGGGGATGATCATACTGCAATATCTTCTCCTCCATTCTTTTCTGGGATTTTGGGCACACCTGCACATGTGCCTGCCATCATTTTCAAGCCAGCAGGTCCAGGACTCAAACTGTGGTTGGCTATATGAGTCCAGCAACTTAACCACTAGGCCACCTGTTGGCCTCATGGACAAGTTTTTAAGGGAGAGAAGGAGAGATAAAGTCAGAAAGCATCTTCCACCCCAGGGAGCATGGCAACACTACAGTCCCTCTCAGGATTTTGGGCATGCATGCACATACATTAAGTGTCTTTTTCTTCTTTTCTTTTTCTTCTACTCCTCTTCTTCTCTTCTTCTTCTCTCCTTCTTCTTCTTTTCTTCTTTTCCTTTAACTCATCTGTATTTGTTACCACCTCTTTAAGCAGAGAATAATTTGGCACACTTCCATTCATAAGCTTCACTGAGTTACTTTTCCGTGGCTTTCAACATATTTAAGTTGGTTTATAATTATATTCCTCTAAATACTTTTCTTTGGAAAACAAGCCCTGTGGAGAGTTCCTCCCTCAAGCTACTTCAGTTTAACCTTTGTCTAAAGGACTAAGACTAATATCATGCAGAACTGGTAACTACGGGTTATGGGATGTTTAAAAAGTAGATCTAAGGGGATGAAACCGAAAAGCATTTTAACAAATAATTCTTTCAAAATCAGGTATATGTCAGAACACTTTAACAACAAAAGATTTGATCTACTAAGAAATCTGGTTTGGACAGCTAAAAACTTTTTTAGACCACAAAGTTAACATTAGATTACACATCTTACAACAAACATTACCTTGATCTATTAAAACAGGCTGATGTGAAACTAGAAAAACATTATTAATTCTACTTTAGTGCCTAAAATATCACAGTATCACACTCAGAAGTAGAAAGAAATCTTATCTTTTCCTTATGTAGTTACTATCATGCCTTATAGGTGTTTAGAATGTTAATAAAAATAACAAAAAACAATTCATATATATATATATATACATATATATATATATTTATTTATTTATTAGAGGGAATGAAGATAAAGCATTGAACACATATGTAAGTCATTATTCAGGCAGAGCTTAATCTAGTTCTTCCATGCATGATGTCCACCACCCCTCTGATGAAATTCAGATATTCAGGAATCAGCTTCTCACAATTGTCCATGATGAAGACTCTGTGTAATATAATTTAATGTTGCTCTTTTTCTTCTTGTTTTCCAACAAGTCAAAAGGAGCACATCTTGGAGTGGAAAGAAGAACTCTGAATTCCAACTGTCCCTCAACTGAAAAGTGCTTCACTGCCAAGCGATCTTCCCAGTCATGGTCAAGCTCTTGTAGAATTCTCTATACTCGGAGATGGCTACTGAATTTGAACTGTGAAATATTGCTTTCATTGACTAAAAATGAAGATTTTCTGAAGAGTTCTCCCTCTAGAATAATTTCTAGTGGAAAAGCAGAAACCCAGGTCCTTCCTGAGATGCCTACTGAACTTGAACTGTGAAATATTGCTTTCATTTACTAAAAATGAAGATTTTCTGCTGAAACTTCTCCCTCCAGAATCATTTCTAGTGGGTAGGGCTATCTCTGTTTCCTTCTCTCCATTTCTCTGTCTCTTTGTGCCTTTTAATAATAAAAAAAAAGATTTATTTATTTATTTATCTTTTAAGGTAAAGTATTCTCTAGGTTCTCAAGTCCCTCCTTTATTGTGCTGATTTGTGCCTTTCCCTATCCCATTTAGGAAAAACACAAACCCAGGCCCATCCTGATATGGATACTGAACTTGAGCAGTGAAATACTGCTTTTTAAAATTAAAATCTAAAGGTTTTTTAAATTATCTTTTTCTTTATTTTTTCTTTTC